CAGGGTCTAAGCCCTTTCTTGCCTTCCCTACCCACCGGTATTTCCCTAGTTTGCTTACCACGTCCCCATCCTTCAATTCCCACGTCTCTTGGATCCCCACTGGGGGGTGGTTTTTCGAAACGGTTTCGTTTTCTCTGTTTCCTACGGTTACAGTGACTCCCGCAGCACCGGCTACATGCTTGATACGCAAACAGGAAACACGAAGGATGACAAAGTACACGCCAGAGTATAAACCGACAGGAACAGTCGGCGCTAGTATCAAATCCATAACACACCGATCCATCTGTCCGAAGATTCTCCCTCATTCAACGCATCTCGACCCTCCGTACACAAAACAGCGAAGAGCACCTAGTGATACAATGCCCTCTCCGTTTCGTATATGTATGACGCGCACAACACTACTCTATTCGAGAGCTACGCGAGACATGCATCAAAGGTATACAGGAAAAGCAAAAAGCATAATCCGACACTCACTCCGGGACGTGACGCCATAAGAAACGACGTGGACTGTGGACGCATTCAACGACCCCCATTGGAGAGAAGCAAAAACATAAAAGGCAAAAACCGCAAACGCTGTGTGTGGGATGCGCCAAGCGCCACCCCAACAGCATATTTTACTCCACCAATGGTATCATCACATCATCATGATCACCAAGGTACAAACTGATGTACTCTAACAAGACTACTGCAGACTTGTACCCGCCCCAGAGATTCACCTAGGTTAGAAGAACAAGCCCCCCCCGAAGCCGGCGAAGGCTCCCGCCGTCAGTCACAGGCAGACGCGAAAAAAGACCCCGTCACCAACCGCCTACTTCACTAAAATGCAGCAGATCCCACAGAAAGAAAAAAACACAACCCAAACACTGCCGTACTGACCCACCAAGCGACTACGCAAGAGCCGACATCCTGAGCAACAGCATCATATAGCTCGTCGTTAGCAAAACCCGAAGATTATCTCGTGATACAATGCCCTCTGCGTTTCGTACATGTATGACGCGCACATCACTACTCTCTCCGACCTACGCGACACATGCATCAAAGATATACAGGAAAAGCAAAAAGTATAATCCGACACTCACTCCGGGACGTGACGCCATAAGAAACCACGTGGACTTTTGACGACGCATTCAACGACCCCCATCGGAGAGAAGCAAAAACATAAAAGACAAAGACAGCAAACGCTGTGTGTGGGACGCGCCAAGGGCCAACCCAAAAGCATATTTTACTCCACCAATGGTATCATCACATCATCATGATCACCAAGGTACAAACTGATGTCATCTAACAAGACTACTGCAGACATGTACCCCAGAGATTCACCTAGGTATCAAGAACAAGCCCCCCCCCCCGAAGCCGACGAAGGCTCCCGCCGTCGGTCACAGACAGACGCGAAAAAGACCCCGCCACCAACCGCCTACTTCACTAAAATGCACAAATAGATCACACATAAAACAAACGCTGCCGTGTTGACCAACCAGGCGACAGCGCAACAGCCTATATCCTGACCAATATGCATCATTCACCATCACCACGAACGTCGCGCAGATCTCCATTGCGGGACGTGATACGCCGCCGGTGAATGAAAGAAATGTAGCTCCGACGCATCCAAAATTATCATACAAAAAGAGCGCAGAGGTGAGGTCGGGTGTCCAGGATGATGCCATCCCGCGCGACAGGGCGCGCATATCTTAACTGCATCAACCCCCTGGGGGACATGAGACAACCCAGCAGTGACGCTTTGTAAGAGCCAACACATGAACTCCGCGCAAAGTAATACCAGCAGCAACGTCGAGGTAAGAGTCTCCCCCCTTCGAAACCCACTCCAAAACTTGTCAGGCATACTTGTGTGGCGACAATAGCTGCCGGCGCCCTTCGACCGCCCCGACGATGTTATCGTCGAGGCGAGCGACCTGGAGGAATACCTCAACAACATGTCGCCCAGAACTTCGGCGGCGGTTAACCCGTACCTCAACAACATGTCGCCCTGAACTTAGGGCGACATGTTCTTGAGGTATTCCTCCAGGTCGCTCGCCCCGACGATAACATCGTCGGGNTAATGCGAGGATGGCGGTCTCTTTGAGGACAGGGCTTTGAATTTGACGGACCGGGGGAGTCCCTACCCTACATTTTGTATCGATCTAGTCTGAACGCCGACTGAGCCCTATTGAGGATATGACAAACAAAATACGGCCGGTTGGGAAACGCTTGCCTGCGAACGGCGCGATGTACGCGATGATGCGTTTGTTGGTGAACTCCTCGTTGCGCACGTTGAGAATGGGTTCCGCGAAGCGGAACGTTCCGGTGGCGAAGGAAAAAAGCCTGTACCACAGGCTATGCGACGGACAGCAAGAACACAAAACGAAAGATATGAAAAAATTCATTCGCAGAGTGTCATGGCGTGGTGGTTTGACGAAGATTTCGCAAATTTATTGGGGTGTACTGACGCGCACGCAACACAGTACAAAAAAACGTGGTAGCAACGACACCAATGATCTGTGTGCCTTATTAGCATGCGCCCACCGGAATACACGTGAAACAAGGCACCCCACCGGCACTCTACAGGTGCAAGATATGGTGTGCAACAATATCTGACTGCCCTAACGTCGTGGGAACGACGCAACGTTCCAAAAGGCAGACCCGTCTCTCTTCGTTGACTCGCAAGAATCATTACCGATCAACACTCACGAGTTCTGAAACTCCCGCGCCTTCTTCGTCTTGAAACCGCCATTCTGGCGGTGAGAGAACGCCTGCACCTGGCGCTCGGCGTAGCACTGCCGGGACTCAAGGTCCCCGGCCTCCTTAAGCTGAATGTGCTCCGCGTCGCAGAGCATCATCAGCAGCAGGGGCAGGGTTACCTGTTCACGCTCGAGGGGGCCGAAGGGGTGGAAGCATGCAGATGATGTATTTTTGGTCAGAGGTTGCTCAAAGGATGATCGTTGGCAGTCGACACATGGGTGTTCTTTAACTACTTCTCGCTGGTTCTACCAACACCACAGTTGGTTTACTGTTCTCTTCACGGTCCCTGGTCACACAGTAGCTGCATCACTAGCCTCTACTTTCGACGCAATTGTCAATCGGGATAAGCACCCCTTTCCCCATGCAAGTACACAAGTGCGTCTTGTAGCGTTGCGGCAAAAGCCATGGGTCGGACTTCGGGAGAAAACAAATGCAGCGAGAAAATTCCTGGCCTATGTAGACGTGGGAATAAATCAAAGTTGTCCACGGGACCTTCTAGGCCTCGGTTGGTAGTGTTGAGAGGAAATCTGCCAGGTAAAATGCAGTACAACGTGCAAACACCCATTCTGTCACCTACGCGAGGAAGCACTCGTGAAGCAGGTCCTGCCAAAAAAGGTGCCCCTTCGACAGAAGGTACTCGTCGAAGCAAGGCGTTCCTTGGTGAATCGCCACATCATGTCCCTAGGGTGCTAGAATTAGCATCAAGCAATACAGGGCGCGCCCCCGAACGTGAACAATAGCACCGTGCGGCTGTGTAAGACCGCACCTGCACTCGCTACCAAGGACACAACCACCTCAGTACCCAAACGACTCATGTCACAAACACAGTAGCATAGGCTCCCAACAGGCTAATTCCTTCCATCCAAACTGCACAAGGCAACAGCGAGTGCTGCAGTAGCAACGGTCTATGCACTCGTTGCTCACATGTCCTTCAAGACGGTCTGGATGCCGGTGTACATTCTCGCGCCATTCTCCTAAAACATGTCCCTTATCAATGGCCGCCGACTTGCGGCTCGCCAGCTTTGGAAGCAGCTCGACCTCAATGGTGTGGATCACTGCCATGAGATTCGGCCACCACAACAACAGGGGGTAAAAAGAGGCGCTTTGCGCGGGGTCTTCGTACACCGAACACAACAAGCAACACGAACAAGAAACACGGGCAATGTACCTCAACGACGATCAACCGTGAGAGGCATGGAAAGGGCTGAAAAAAACTTGGGAGGGTTGTGATTGTGTCCACCAATCAACCGGGGGCAGCCCGCGTTGAAGTCAGCAGCCGGGTGGCCGTGGATCGAGAACAATGTGTAATGATCGCGGGTTTCCAAGGAACGAAGCACGGGTGGTGATTCCAAACGAGAATGAAATATATGCACCGCAGCAGAGAGGCGGAGGAGCTCGTGGGAAAATTATGTTCAGCTTGGGGCAGTACCACCCACGTTCTTTGAGTCACACAGCATCAGCCCGTTGGGCGTGGGACACTTGAGAGGCGCCATCTACAATCGTTCAAATCAAATCCCAGTCTTTCATTTGCGTTTTGCTCTCTTTTTTGATCCATGATTTGCGCGGAAATCACGCGAGTACTCAATGCAACGGGTGCGAGTTACAGCAGCCACAGCTTGGAGACTTTACATCGGTGTATCTGGGTTTCCCCGCTGACTCAAAAAAGNGATCCATGATTTGCGCGGAAATCACGCGAGTACTCAATGCAACGGGTGCGAGTTACAGCAGCCACAGCTTGGAGACTTTACATCGGTGTATCTGGGTTTCCCCGCTGACTCAAAAAAGACCAGTTCAGCGATTTTCACCA